TTTTTTTGTGTTTCATCTATTCATCTCCCATATTTGCTGAAAGACCATTTAATTTTAAAAGTGTGTCTTTTCTTGAATTACTTATTGAATATTTAATAGAAACATTGCGGAAAATATCATAAACTTACCTAAATTTTCGAGATGCAGGGCGTGTTCACAAGCAAAACGTCGCCCTTTAATGTGGTTTTTTTGGGGAATGCGATAGCAGAAATTGTACAACGTATTCTTATGCCAGCAAACACAATCTTCCTCGTCAACGCTCCTGTTTTGAGGCAGGATGTGAGAGATGCTCTAAAGAATCGAAGCCCTCACTTATTTTCTAATCCTAAATTTGAAACTCTAGCATTTGTACTAAACGTTTCTAGTATTTCATAAATAACCTCACCACTGGCTCAGCCAAAAAATTTGAAGTATTTATGAGGTAGGTGAATAAAACTATGATGGAACATACAACAGCAAACACCAGCATTCTAAAAATAAAAGCACTATTCTAAGTGAAATTATAGTAAAAATAAATACTCAAACGGTCCTGATTTAGGTATTGTTGCTTATGACTATAACTCTTTGAAAAATAAGCATTTTTATGAATCAACTTTCAGTAGTTTATACAGGTCATTTTCCAATCGTCACAACCTTTACAACCCGGTAACAATCGTTACCTAACGGCGTTGGTATATCTCACTTGGTGAAGCAAGCAGTTCTCTTTCCTAGTAAAACTTCTGGTTTGAGGACTGATAAAAACGATAATGGTGGTGCTAACTTTACGCGTAGTAAACTTAGGAATCACTACGTAAAAATCTGACAATGAAATTCAGGTGTATCATAAAAGGGGTTCCACAACATCAGCTACTGTACGATTTGGTTGTTGAAAGATTGGCACAAAAATGAAAATGAAATGAGATTATAGAAGATGCATTAGTATTTTCATTTAATCGTTTGAAACGATTTCCGCCAAAGAGCATTATATCGCAGAGTTGCTGAGATAGCAATCATTGGAAAAATGATAAATTACAATTTTTCAAATAAGAATAATCTCTTAGGAGCAATCTGCATGTTTTTTTCCCGAAATCATCAGGGCAACTGCTTAGGTAATATTTTTCGCCGCTCTGGTTTATGTTTTGTCATATCCTTATATAAAGGCGCATGTTGGTTTATACACAAAAGGAGGGAAGGAAATGTGATGGGGGATGAAAAAGTTTTAGCTTAATGCAAAGTAGAAAATTTTTATTTTGAAGATACATTCACATAGATGTTTTTTACTCTTTTAATCAACTCTTCCATGTAATTGGTTCTCATGTTTCAAATGTACTTTATATTTGACTACATCTCTCAAGACTATTAAAACTTATTAGTCCACCCCAAATCCAATTTTATGAGCAATTTCGAATATAGCAGTATGCAGGTTATGGATAGATTTTGATCAATCCATATGTGATTATTTCTTTGTTTGTTATATTGGCATACTTCACTTAACACAATTTCCCAAGTTAACATTCAAAGGGTTAATCACACCTAACCGTTTAACGCAAATCTCAGCTCTGTATGGGTTCTAGAAACACTGCACTTCTGTGCACATACGCGCACTGTTACCATAGTGAATCTCAACGTATTCTGTCCAACGCAGATAACTCGTAACGATGGAAATATTGGACATTGGACTCGCTTTCACCCGAGTCTGCCCTAATGCCACACTTCGATTTACTATGTGTAATTATTTCATTTTATCTATAATCTTGTATCCATCAATTTATAGGTGAATCAAAATGTTATTTTTGGCGTATAATCAATATCCCACTTCAACATGTAAACAAAATTTTCTGCAAAGACTTTTCAGGAGTCAGAGCAGATTTTACTTTTAAATTAACAGGAAATTGTGAAAGGTTTTTGATTCCGGTTCGCAGAAAACGTATACCTTTAAGAGAAGAACATCACTTAAATAATTAAGCTTCAACGCTTCCTGGCGACAAGAAAGAGGCTGACAAAACTTGAAATTTGTCTTATTTTTGCAATTTTTTTGTTATGTACGCAAAATGTTTCATAATTACTTATTTTTTTCTTTAACCCTCTCACAATAATCTGGCCAGCAATGGGACAGTTCTAAAAATTCATTATCTACAACAATGTTCACATTTTTTGCAAAAGATTCCGCTAAACCACCACTGAATCTAAATGTTGTTGTAATAACCATGTACAAACATCTATGAATCAAAGAAGAGAAACGTTCTTGTTGAAAAGCGAAGAAAAAATCAGAAAATGCTCAATTTCACCCTGTTTTCGGTGTATTGTTTTGTCTATTCAACAACTTCCGCGCAAGGGTATACACATTTTCACAGGAGAAGCAGAAATGCAACCAACTCGCATTGGACTACCTTTAAACGCCAACGATAATACTGTTCATAACACTACTTTGATACAAGTAAGTTCAACGAAAAAAATCGTTGCATAGAAGATAAAATCATCTTTTCAGAAACACCGTAAGAAATTGCAACTATTACTTATTTTTTTCCTAGTAACTCTTTCGCTCTACAATCTCAAGTACAACTCAACTACTCTGTTGTCAGAGGCAAGTCAGTTAATCCTAGTATATCGATAAACAAGACTTAAGCTCACTTTCCTTTATTTTTAGACTCAATTGGAAGATAATTCTAAAGATGAAGGCTGTTTTTGTTTGCATAAGAATGTATCCTATGATTTTTGCTACCATCTGCCGCAGGATGGGGCTGTCAAAGGAAGACGATTTGACTGTGCATTTACCTCATATCTTGAAGAATTAGGTGAGTATTGTTTTTACTTTTTAGAGGCTGCTTTAAAAGGTATGCTATGAATGAATATCGTTCAGGACTCTTGTCACCAATGAAAGTTATTGACATGAGTTTGGAAGAGATGCCCACACCAGCGTTTATAACAGCAATGTCCGAAAATCATTATCGGGAAGGGCTTACACTGGTGAGGTTACTGTAAAAGACCAGTAAGCCATTTATGATTAATAATAAGTTAAAAATTAGAGGACAAAAATCGATCGAACATAAACACCTTTGGATTAAGCAAAACGCAAATACTGGCCCTCATTCAAGAATGTTTAAA